TCCGTGAGGGGCCGTTGGAGCCGACCCAGCGTGGGAAAAGGTGATAAATTAGATTGTGTGCTAAATACAGAATCTTCTTTATTAACATTATTTCATCTTTTAATTAGTTTGAAGAGTCAAACTGTATAAAAAGCCCTGCAAACTTCAAGAAGCTGGAGCCGGCAGAGTGTACCGATGCCCTGTTCTGGCTTCATACCCCCTTTTTAGCGGGGTTAAAGCGCGTGCTCCTCTGTAAACACCCTGCGTGTCGCCTGTTGCGGCTGCTTTGCCAAGCGTTTGGTTTCTGTTTGCAGAAGACGGTGCGTGCAGGGCTGGGCTTTCTGCGTGCCTGCCCTGCCAAGCCGTGCTCCCGGGTGGAGGGGGCTGTCAGAAAGGAAAGAGGGTTTGGAAGGAGCTGAGACTCGCTGCGTCAGAGGATGTCGAGAGGACGTACGCAGCAAAGAAATTGGCCAAATGCGGCGATTGGAATCACCAAATGTGGCGAAGAAATCAGTCGGACTTTCTCTCTTCTCAAGGCAAGTTTCCTTTATTGGGAAGCCAAGCGAGCGAGCAAGCGAGTCACCTTGCAAAACAGTCAAGAAAGTAATTTATATCCACAGATAGGAGTCTGAGCTATGAGGCCAAACAGGACGATTCCCTCCTTTCTCACGCTCCCTAATCAGAGAGAGTTTGCTTTCTCACACAGTCATCCCTCGTGACTGCCTTCAGTCACAAACAACTGCCCAGGTGCTCCAGGCGCTTTTCCAGCCTGACCCTTTCATCTGCTCGTGCACACCATAACTATGTCCTGTGTGGCCTCCTCAGATCTCTGTGTTCCCGTGCTTATTCTTCATCAATTTTGCATACGATGTGTACAGCTCCTTCAGACGTACAGTGTGGTTCTGTTGTCCAGCGCTGCCTTGCAGAAGTGGTGGTTACCTTGGCAGTGGTGTTGGACCGCAGCAAGACGAGCCAGCTGGGGTTTGCCACTGGCAGGACCTGTTCTCACCGTTGCTGGACATTGCTGATACGTGTACGCAGCTGCTGGTTTAAATAAGGCAAGGAAGCTGCCTGTGAGCAAAGTTTCTATTTATCTCTGCTTTCGTCTTTGTTTTGAACTATATTCTGTTAATATATAGAATCACAGTGGCATGAAATTTCACTTCTTAACCTACTGCTTTGTTATCTTAAGTTGGTCTTTCAGTGAGTGTGTGTTGTTCCGGATAATAAATTTTGTTGGTAAGCATCATTTTTCTGGCTGTTTAGGAAATACAAAGGTGGCGGACTGAGCTGACTTGCCATAGTGGCGAAGTTATTGGCTGACTTTAAAAGTGGTGTTTGGGGATTTCTTAAATTGGATAAAGAGAATTCCGTTTGGCAGCAGCAGAAGTCCATAGTCACTGGATTTCACTGGTGGAAAGTGTTCAACTTAAGTAGCGTCATGGAATCCTGCTTTTTGCAGCCCCTTGCTCCTGCCTCACATACATGTGCATGTATAGATGGATGGATGTGTGAACAAACACAAACAGGCCCACGCACCTATTCCCATATGTTGAGATCTGTCTCCTCGTCTTGGTCTGTCTTCCTAGTCCACAAGAAAAATCGGCAACAATCCCAGGGCTATTCATGCTGGACTGGAACAAAAATAAGCGAAACAGAAAGGATTTTCCAGAAAGATTTGAAGGAAATATAAAAAATAAGAGACAAGCTATGGCCTGCAATGCCTCCAGGTGAAACTGGTGAGAAATGGGCACACCTCTCCAAAGCTATCCCAGCCCAGAGACTCAGGAACGGTGTAAGAAACAGCAGGTATCTCCTGCACTGAAAATCTTCTTTTACCTGTCTCCTTGGCAAACGTTTTTGTTAAAGAAGAACTGACTGACTCTGACAAACCTCTGTGTCCCAAGCGGGATGAACCTACATGATGTACGGTCTGTGGGGGAGAAGTTGGCTTCGCAGCTGAGTGCTGGTGATGCCGCTCATCCAGGAGATGTGGAATGAATCAAAGGTGGCAAGGCACAGACCCGCTCGGTGGAGAGTCTCCTGCCAGTTGAAAACCGGGAGGTGGTGGAGCAGGCTGGGCTTGTATGCCCAACAGCTGTGAAGAAGCCTTGGGGCTGATCTGCGTAGGGCCAGCCGTCCACGCTGAGATGTGGTACACTTCTGCAAACTATAGAACTTTGTAGGAGTTTTTCAGCCAGGAGGCAAAAGTTGTCCGTTGGATCACCAGGCTGTTGCCACTGCAGGATGCTACGTTGTGGAGAAGGAGAGGCCGTGGCCCTTTCCCACATTTTTTGAGGAACACCCATAAGGTGTTGGTATGTAAACTTTGCTTTCTGACCTCCGCTGAGGCTGCTCCCAGAGAAGGAGCTACAGTCTGAGCCTCAGCTTTAACCCCCCCTTTAGCAGTGAAAGTGCAGGAGGCCTAATTTTATTCAAGAAGGGTTAAAGAACTGGTTTGGAGGCTGGAGGCCAGTCCACGCTGGAAAGCTCATTGATTATGGTACAGATCTGCTAGCTCTCCTTAAAACTTCTGCAAGAATTAACTTGATTTATGTATTTATTGTTACTGCCTAGTTATTTAATCTGCAGTCCCATTTTTTGGTGAGGTTTTTGTTGTTGTTATTGGGATTTTTTTACAAGAGTTTAAGCGCTGACAGCTCCGTAACCTCTTCAGAGCATCGCTGTTTTCTCTGCTTGCAAGATTAAGAGCAGATTAACTATGATTCGACTTTTTGTTGTTGTTCACAGATGGTGGTGGGTCATTTTCAAGTCATCCAATCTCAGGATCAGGTAATGATGAGGAGTGTTACGCTAAGGGGTGGTATTTACACTTACACTCACTGTCAAGGACAGTTCTGACAGTGCTTAATGCAGTGCATGTTGAGAGGGGAATTTAGCTGCACTCCCTACTCAGAGTGCCCTCAGCAGGGACCTTTGTACCATTCTCTTCCTCGTAAAACCAGAACATAAGCTCTAGAGTCCAAGCGGGCATGAAAAATGGCTCCTCAAAGCCAGATTGCTGTGCTTTGTGCCTTGTTTTGTAGTCTAGCATTCATCACTTGCGGAGCAGAAGGTGAGATGCAAAATCTCTTTTTATTGCTGTTGGGGAAGCAGCTGCACTGACGGGTTGCAGGGCAGTGATTTTCAAAGGCAGTACATCTCTTATACCTGTGTTGGCAATCTGTAAAAGTATCCTCATAAGCCTGATGCAAAAATCACTGGTTTTGTGAGATGAAACCGTTTCTGAGATGATTTTATGAAAACAAAATTTCTGTCTCGCTTAAAAGGTAGAAAGCAAAAACATTTCTGAATTACCTAAACAAAATATTTTTAAGATCTTGTTGGATGATAAATTTAGAAAATGTTAATGATTTTGATAGTTGCTGTTTGCTCTGAAATTTGTTTTTAAGCTGTATGCTCTTGCGCAGTGACTAAACTACGAGTCACCTAGCTCCAGTTGTCGCTGGCAGAGCCAGCTGTGGGAGTGCTTGGCAAGGAGTGTCTGTCATTGCACAAAAGCGAAATGAAAGCTAAACAAAATTGAAAGGAACAAGCTGAAATCTTCTAAATTAAACAGTCAGTTAAAAAATGCTTCATTGAAAAGTCTGTCTGGTAATTATGAAGATGCAATTGAATTTTTTTTTTTTTTTTACCTTATGTGTTACTTAGGACAGAATGGTGCTCAGCCAGAAGTGGCTATTGCACTGGGACGGCTCAGAGGGAGACAAGCAAACGTGAAGGGGACAGACAGACTTGTAAATGTTTTCCTTGGGATTCCTTTCGCAAAACCACCTGTTGGGTCTTTGAGGTTTTCCCCACCTGAGCCACCGGAACCATGGAATGATCTGAGAGATGCAACGTCTTACCCACCAGTGTGAGAGCTGTTCAGTTCGGTTGTGTGTAGGACCTGCTCATGGTTGTCGTGTTTATTAGGGTACAGAGGTCTGACTGTTGGTAAGGAGCTGCTATTGACTGGTAGTGAATACACTGCCAGTACTGAAATATTTGATAAGAACTGTAGGACTAGGAACCACAAACAATTCCTGGGAAATTCCTGTCTTTGGAAATTGTGTTTTTTCATAATACTGAAATAATTCAGCTTTTTAAGTACAAGGGTAGTGATGTGCTTCTAGAGTTGGCACCTCTGCCTGTGTGTAAGTCACACGAAGTTTGAGCACCCTGTGGGAATTCAGTCTGTGGGACAAAAGAAAGTGTGTTTTCTCTGTTGTTGTTACATGGTTGCTATTGCAGTTTTATTACTAATAGTCACACTTCCTTTCTTTTGTGAAGATGTCCTCAAAATCTGTCCCTGTTGAAAACAGCTGAGAGAAGCTTTAAAGAACGCCACCCTCCGTTCCGAACTTCTGAGGACTGTTTGTATCTAAATGTTTACAGCCCTGCTGGTTCAGCCAAGAAGGACAAGTTACCTGTACGTACACCCGTGGTACAAACCTGTGCTGTACACAGTCTGCACCTAATGAAAGCTCCTAAGTCACTTAATTGCTCTTGAAAATGGGATGCTGCATTAGCAAAAATAATACGGTTAGCTAAAATCCAAAGTCCGCCAACCTAAAATTCAGCTCCCATTGAGCTTCGGTGGTTTGGAGTTCCTAATTCTCTGATGTTGTCTTCCCTTTTCAAATGAAATCTACCAAGCAATGTGTAAAAGCGTCTCCCCCTTTTTCCTCAAAGGTAATGGTGTGGATCCACGGAGGCAGTTATATATTTGGTGCTGCTTCTAGGTATGACGGTTCTGCGCTGTCAGCCTACGAGAATGTCGTGGTAGTAATAATTCAGTACAGACTTGGACTCCTTGGATTCTTCAAGTAAGAGGACCTATTTCACTTTCTACAAAATACTTCCTATTGTGTTTAAAACAAGGATAGTTTTGTTTTCTAAATCAGCTGAACTCCTGTGCCAGCTTCCCACTGTTACGGTGGTTTAAATGTACAGAGGTCACTGACGTCAGGACTTAAGAACATGAAGAAATGTCCGTAAATTCCATTTGCAGTGTCATTTGATTGTAGCTGGCTATCAAATCATAGTTTGGCTTATTTGGTTCTGGGTAGGATGTTTCCTTGCCTTTACTTCCATCTATTGGTGTGTAAAGCAGAAAATCGTGTAGTGTAAAGGCCAGGAATCCATGGGTATGGGTATGGGTATGGGTGAACAAATGGTAGAGGCAGGTAGAGGTGGGTGCGGCTTGGGTGTGGCTGTGAAAGGGCTTTAGGACAGTAGGCTATGCAGATCTTTCCTTGGCCAAATATGACACTTTGCACATAATGTAAGACAGTGAGGTTTATTTTATTCTCATATTAGAAGAACTATTAATCTTCCTGAGAAGTTGGCTTATACTGCTTTTCTTTCAGTACTGGTGATGAACATGCTCGTGGGAACTGGGCTTTTTTGGATCAAGTAGCAGCTCTGCGGTGGATCCAAGAACATATCGAACACTTTGGTGGAGATCCAGGATCTGTCACACTCTTCGGTGTATCTGCAGGATCCTGCTCTGTTTTTGCACATGTAGGCATGCAGCAGATACACTAAAAAGTAAAGTCTCAAAAAAAATTCTTCAGAAACTCAATTAGTGTAACATTTCATGCTTAATCTGATTTTTGAAAGTAAGATTAATGGCACTTCTCCCGTGGGCACATAAAAATGTGTAATTCCCCGCTGAATCCAGCAGCCTAGCCAGCATAAAGTTATGAGGTAAGGACCATAATGTAGAATCAATACTTTCTGTTCTTCCCTTCTTGGCAGGTTTTATCTCCTTTGTCTAAAGGTCTCTTTCATAAAGCGATATCAGAGAGTGGAATTCTAATCCCTCGTGATAAAGATCTACTTTTTTCAACAGATCTTAAGGTAGGCTCTTTTTTTTTTTTGTTTTCCATTTTGAAGCCTTTATAACCTTAAATAGGGTATTTCTTCTATCTTATAATTTGGTTAAAAGGGAAAAGGCGAAAAAGCTGATTGCATAGTATGCAACAAAGTTGAGCAAATTTATTCTCATGCATACCTATAAATATATAGATTAGCACTAAATAAATTTTCATTCAAATAGTTTATTTATTTTTAGTCATTTTTTGTTGTTCGAAATAGATTGTGCAGTTATGTGATTATAATATCTGTGAGTAGGTATTTTCAGTTACACACATCAGGCTAGGCATATATCTATTTTCATGCACATTGTAACTTATACAGTAACTATGAAATTTATTATGGAAAGTCTAATTAGAATCCAGAAGAGGCATTCAGTTTTTATTCTGCTGTGGTCTTTTATGGAGGACCTTTATTTGAAGTAAATTAATTAAATGCAAAACCCAAAAAATTTTCAAATAAAATTCCTCTCTGTAAGTACCTTTTCATTTTTCCTCCTGAAATGGCAGGCAGTAATAGTGTAAATCTCTCATAAGTTGATTTTCTGAATTTTCTTTCCTTACTTGATTTATGTTACAACCTCACATTATCGCTGCAGCAAGGTTTGTTGTAGAACAGTGAATGGAAATATAGCAAGAAAGAGAAGTATGCCAGAATGATTTCACTTTGTGATCGAACTGTAGTATTTCTAGTAAAATAAAATACTGGAAGACCTACCAAGCTCACCTAAATCGGCCCTTAAATAACACTATCAACAGTACTGTGTGTAACAATTTTCTGTTTATAAATTCTCCAAAGACCACCTTACAGCTAACAGTTCTTGTCTTTGGTAATAATTTTCAGAAAGTTGCAAGTATATTTAAGTGTGAGACAAGCAGTTCACTCTCACTGATTGACTGCTTAAGGAACCAGGAAGCAAAGGATATAGTCTTTAACAGTACGGTAGGTGAAACTTTACTTACTAATGGATTTTTTTAATGGCACACTTGCAAAACTTTAGCTCAGCCTCTCACCAGAGTTCACTGTTGGCCTGTTCCAAAGTTGTTTTTTCTTAACTTTTGTCAAAATACTCCCTAAATATTGGAATAATGCCACATAATTTCTCTTTAGAATTTTCAGTGAAGTGTCACAGCACCTGTAAAGTTGTGAGAGAGATTCGAGCATACGGACATATGTGTAACGTCAATTAGAAGCAGCACAGGATCAGGAAGCAGCTGCATTACTCCGTACCATGACCCAGCCAGGCTAGCGTTTTATACTCTTGGGCAAAGCTGTAAATTAGTATTATGGTGGCTGTAGACGCTCAGATTTCTTAAAGCCCTTTTTTGCACTTGGAACATTAAATGTGGAATTTCGTTATGTGATTTGAAGGAAAAAAGGAAAATACTATTAACAAGTAATTTGATTTTTTTTTTTCTCCACTTTCAGGACATCCCATTGGTACCCTTAGTTTTGGATGGAGTATTTCTTCATAAGTCACCTGAAGAGATACTGGCTGGAAATGAATTTAATGCAGTCCCGTTTATGATAGGAGTCACCAACAATGAGTTTGGCTGGACTATCAGATCTGTAATTTAACAACTGTTCTTCGGGGGTTTTCTTGAGTGTTTGTGTTAACTGATGCAGGCAGTTCTGAGAAGGTGTTTGCTGGTAGGACAGCTTTTAAGTACGGCCAAAAGTCTTTGCATTGCTGGAGATTATATACAAGGTAAACTTTGCTTGCATTATGATTCTCCAGTGACCCTGGACCAGTTGGTCACAAAACAGTGAGACAGGCTTCATCCTGCAAGTTAAACTACATGGACGTCCTTGGAACATCAATTTTATACATTATTGTCTTATCCTAAAATTTTAATCCCTCATCCAGGCAGAGAGAGGAAAAAGAACGCAACAGTCAAGGGCTTATTACTGAAACAAAAATAAAACCAGTCCTTTCCCTCACACCGCACAGATGTTCCACACACGGTATTCAGGACTGATACATAGAAGGTTTAAAAATGTGACACCAATCACCTGAAACAGCCTGTGCTGTTGTCGCTGTGAGCTCTGACTGCTGGGTGTGCCATTGCCCCAGTGTTCCTTGTAGCCATGCAGAAAGATCCGTCCTGTGAAGATCTCAGCTGGTGACAGAGCACGGAGATAATGCAGGTGTCCAACCCATCCCCAGTGCATAAATTCTTTCTTATATGAATTCCATGGGTAATTCCAAAAAATGAGCAGTTGCTGCAGGAGGTGGATTTGTGTCCTCTCTTCCTTGTCCTCTTTTCTTCATTTCCTAAGTATTCAGGTTCATCTCTGTAGTACAAAGCATTTGTTCGGAATCTGCGTAGTAACTGTGCGTCTCTGGGAGTGTGCTGGTACCGAGTCAAAGAACAAAAATGTAAAGTGAAATCTGTTCTAATTCATTTTCCAGACGAAAGAGTCATTTTATGTAATGCTTGAAAAGAGGAGGAGCATCGCCTTCTCTTTTCTTCCGTGGGCTCAGCCAACGGGACTAGAGACAGAGAGGCTGCCAGTGACTTTCAAGACCTCCCTGACCAGAGGGAAAATAAGCCTTTGAGACAGAAGAAGCTTTTTGCTTCAATTCTGCCCCAATGCTTTCTAGTCCTATAAGTTTCTTAACCATGTCTGTTGATTTAAGGATAAACTACTTAGTATGAGTGGTTTGTGTCAAAACCCTCACCGAGGAAGCACGTACTGCAGTAAACACAAGCTTTTCAAGACAGCTGCTGCATCGTACTACATTTTTGTGTATTATATGATGCTTCAAAAATAAACACCAGTAGTAAGGACAAATTGGAATAATGTAGTTTCAATCTTAAAAATACTGGAGAAGTTAAATGGCGCTAATAACATTCTTTTTCTTTTGTGCAGACATCAACAATACCAGGTTTGAGGGAAATAGGAGATAAGAAATCAATCATTTCAACTTTAAAGTTTTTACTACCAATGGCGGTAAGTACTGTTGCACTAATTTAATTTAAGAAGTGAAGTTTCTTTTCAATGCATAGAACAGGTTTCTGAAGTGTAGTGTTATCTTAATTTTCTACTTGAGCCATAGCGTTGCTGAGCCTCAAGATCACGTTATGCTTTGGGGAGAATCCCAGCAAAGCTGACAGGACTTCCATGTGTGGAGTTACATGGAAATAGGATTGAGTCAGGTCTGGGATTTGGGGAAATACCTTTTTGCTTCTAGAAGCCAAAGTTTTTATTTTATGTAGTTGTATGTAGGATTACTGTAATAGTGTCCCTAATCTTGTGATATCTGGTGGCTAATCTCCTGGTTGAAGCGTTTCAGGGCAAGATTTTTCAATATGTTTACATTAAATTAAATGTAACTTTCAAAGTAGTTACTTTGCACTCCCAGTTTTGAAGTGTATCTTTCAAGCAGCAAATTCTAACACTGAAAAGGTAAGCTGTGTTTGGAGATCCCATTGGTCTTGCCCTGTAGACTAACAGTCCATAAATCTTTCAAGGACTCGGAGAATCCCGTCTCTTTTCTCCTGAAGAAAACAGAAGCTGAAGGTGTTATCAGGAGAAGCTGCTGGATCTTCATTGATTCCCGTAGAATTTTAGCCCGTATAAATCTGTTGCAAATTTGACCTGAGATGGTTTATTTTTTGGTGTTGGGGGTTTTTTTCCACCATAAAAATTCTGAATAGGTTTTATTTGCCACCATGGTTTCCCATCAACATGGGGGCTACCCTGGACCCTTGTGCCTTTGTGGACCTCTGCAGTTTAAAAGATGACATTTTTAGCAGCTAATTGAGTGTGATAATTTTTCTGTTTACTTTTGTTTGTTTTTTTGTTTCCCCTTTTTCTGTGAGGATGTACCATCAGAATTTCTGCCTGCGATAGTGGATGAATATCTAGGGAACACAGATGATCCTGCTGAGCTACGGGACCGATTTCTGGACTTGCTGGGGGATGCAGGAATTGTCATGCCATCCATTAGAGCATTGAATTATCACCGGGGTGAGCTAATGAACACCAGACCCGTACACTTGTGCTCATAGTGACAACATATTGAGAGCAGAGCATGATAATACACGTAAATTTTTGCGAAGTCAAGTCTACGGGCTTAAAAATGAAAACATGCTAAAGCAGCCAGAATTTGTCCTTTGGCCCACTGCTACTTGGCAAGTCAGCAGCTCTTTAGTCCAGTGATTGGCTGGGGTGTAAGTGTAGACAGGCCATGCCAAAATACCCAGAATTAGAAAATAATTTTATGTTATTTTGTTTTCTGTAAGTTTTCCTGGGGTGGATCTCACTTTTTTGTGTAAGTGCTGTGAGTTCTTAATTTTAAATTAAAATTAAAAATACGTATTTGAATGTAACATTACATTAAAAATGTGCACAGTATAAAGCTTTGGGCATCCTTAAAGTAATGTTTTAATCAGCTGATGTCAGGCCTAATTTATGCATCTCTTCTTCAACTCTCTAAACGTTACATCTTCTAGAGTCTGGAGCTCCTGCCTACTTCTTTGAGTATCAGCATCGGCCCACTTCTCAGCGGGACAGTAAACCAGAGTATGTGAAAGCTGATCACGGAGATGAAGTCGGCTTTGTCTTTGGAGGACCGTATCTGGCCGGTGATATTCAGCTGTGTGGTGAGGAACAGAACATTCAGTGTTCACTTACAAATTATGCTCGTAACATTGGCATTGTTCTATTCGGTGGTGCTACTTCCATTTTAATCAGACTAAAGTACATATATGAAGTGAGCCAAAAGTATAACCCTTTCTCCTGTTAGAATTTGTTTAACACGAATTTACTGTCTTCTCCATACTTTGCCGTGTACAGTTTGCCGTTTCGGAAGCACGGTAAGTTACAGATATTGTCAACAATTTGGCAAATAGGACGTCTGCTAGAAAACATCCCTGTCGTTCTGTCAGCGCTGTTCATGAATTTGCCAAATAGCTTTGGCTGAAGAATGAATTGAAGGAAAGGTCAAATTACACTTGCAGGGGATTAGCAGAGTGCTTGGGAAGCAGGAGATCTGGGCCCTCTTCTTTTTGTGAGGGATTTAAGCGAGTGTCTCCTCCTTTCCAGGAAACCCCCCCAGGCTGTCAGGCTCCGCAAAACAGGGGACTCTCTCTTTTGCAGGCAGCGTTCCAGCTAAGTTGATTAGAGCAGGGCTTGGAACTCCAGTGTTTCATTTTGTTCGTGCAGATCTAATGGTTCCGTTAAAGACTGTTTTCCCCCATGACTCAATTAATATTTAAACATTTTATTCAAAACTGAACCGGTCCATTGAGGAAGGATTAAAGGTGTGCTCCCAAAATTGCTTTTGCCGTGTCAGTTCGGGCATTCTGGTAGGATTCTGGAAGTTTTTGTTCCTTCAGGCAGAATCCCACAGTCCAAATGAATGTGACAATCACTGAACGGGCAAGATGCCACCTCCTCAGGCATATTATCAACCCAGGAATTTGCTTCAGTTGCATATGCTTAAAACAGTAATACTCAGTATGGAGTATTTTCTTTCCCGTGAAACAAATTAGGAGCAGTTCTTAATTTGACAAACACACACAGAAATTCTACTTATTTTAAGTGAATTCACTGGTTTTTCTGCTTTTGTTTGTCACTTGCACAGTAGTTCATAGTCTGTTTCAAAGCCTACATAAATGAAAGTATTTCCTTTTACTCCATTGAACTTTGGAGCAGTCCAGCTATGTTGTAAAACTCGTTAATCTGTTACTAGAGCCTTTTGATTTTGCTTGTATATTTTTTTTTACTTACATTATCCTACACTAGAAAACACTCTACAGTTCTTTTTCCATTTGCCTGAATTTACTGAGAGCATTAAAATAGCAAATATTTTTCTTGAGGTATTGAGATACATTTATCATTAATAACGCACTGTAACTAAAATTATTTTCACCTAGCTGATACAGTGGGCATACTTGCAGCTATATTTAAATGAATATTCCTGAAGTGTTGACACATGGAATGGCATCATCTTGTATCAGAATAAAGAAATCTCTGCTTAGTTGTGCTCTGAATAATAGGGAGAGTTTCAGTCCCACAACACTGGAATGACATCTGTGACACTAAACCTTGTGGCCTATGCTTTGAGTTGACTCAGGGGTTCTTTGTTCTGCTCCTGCTTTCCTGACAGTGTTCACTTACAAATTATGCTCGTAACATTGGCATTGTTCTATTCGGTGGTGCTACTTCCATTTTAATCAGACTAAAGTACATATATGAAGTGAGCCAAAAGTATAACCCTTTCTCCTGTTAGAATTTGTTTAACACGAATTTACTGTCTTCTCCATACTTTGCCGTGTACAGTTTGCCGTTTCGGAAGCACGGTAAGTTACAGATATTGTCAACAATTTGGCAAATAGGACGTCTGCTAGAAAACATCCCTGTCGTTCTGTCAGCGCTGTTCATGAATTTGCCAAATAGCTTTGGCTGAAGAATGAATTGAAGGAAAGGTCAAATTACACTTGCAGGGGATTAGCATAGTGCTTGGGAAGCAGGAGATCTGGGCCCTCTTCTTTTTGTGAGGGATTTAAGCGAGTGTCTCCTCCTTTCCAGGAAACCCCCCCAGGCTGTCAGGCTCCGCAAAACAGGGGACTCTCTCTTTTGCAGGCAGCGTTCCAGCTAAGTTGATTAGAGCAGGGCTTGGAACTCCAGTGTTTCATTTTGTTCGTGCAGATCTAATGGTTCCGTTAAAGACTGTTTTCCCCCATGACTCAATTAATATTTAAACATTTTATTCAAAACTGAACCGGTCCATTGAGGAAGGATTAAAGGTGTGCTCCCAAAATTGCTTTTGCCGTGTCAGTTCGGGCATTCTGGTAGGATTCTGGAAGTTTTCGTTCCTTCAGGCAAAGCTACAGGCAAATCACCTTATTTCCTTGTACTCCAGTTTCCCACTTTGTAGAATAAGGACAATTACGCTTATCTCATTCATAAAGAATGCTGAAATCTTCTCCTGATGGTTGCTGGATTACTCGCATGTGGCAGGTACGGAGCCTCTGTTGTAATCAGTAAGTTGTTACAACATACTCGCAGGCTGAGATGCTGCTTCTGTAGTAGCAGTGTTCTGATTTCTGCCACACTTGATAACTGTTTTGTCCTTTGTCTCTCAGGTGAGGTTACAGAGGAAGAAAAGCAGCTCAGCAGAACTCTGATGAAGTACTGGGCTAACTTTGCTCGCAATGGGTAAGAATCGTGAGATTCCTGACGCGCGTTACTGGTTTGTACTGCCTCTGTGGTGAGGGAGCCGGTTTGTTGGCTCAGGCCTAACGGCTGTGGCTGAATTCTCCCCAGCTGAAGAGGGCGCTCACTCTTTCTTTCTTGTTGTTTACAGAGACCCTAATGGGGAAGGTTTGGTTGACTGGCCGTCCTATAACCTAAATGAAGAATACTTACAGATAAATCTAAAACAAGAGAAAGCCAGAAAGTTGAAAGAAAAGAAGGTAGAATTCTGGAGAAAAGTGATGTTAGAAAAGACAAATAACAGAAAAACGGAAAACAAGAAAGTTAATTCAGAGTTATAACTTACAGTCTAAACATGCACATAAAAGGCAAAGTATTAGGGTAGTAAAAGAAATTCCTTAAAATAATTTTGAGGGTAAAAACATGTTTCCCTTCTTTTCACCCTTTCTTCACAGTTGTCATACTTGCAGTTATTCACTGTAATAAGTCCAGCTGATGGACTTCCCCTTTGTGATCCTTTACTTCTCGCTGGATTTGTGTCTACAACAGAAGCCTCACTTATTAAATATAGGTTACCAGATTTCCCCACTGCTCAGGTTTTGCTGTTGCTTCCCCATGATCAAAGACAGAATGTAGTGGCAACCTTGTTTTAATTAAGTGAAATCAATAAAGACTTGATCCGCAAGTATAACTGTCTTTTGATGTCAAGTGGATCGGTGATGGTACAGGAGTTTCATTCTTATTTAGATACAGAAATGTCCTGGGGGAGAGGGAAGGAAACTAAAAAATGTTGTGCCTTTTAAGTCAGTTTTACAATGGAGGTAGTAGATTTCTGACTGTTGTGACATAGGATCAGCAACAGTAGTGCTGGAATGAAGACTTCTATGAAGTGTTAGAAAAGGGAGAAACAGTCTCCCCTACCCACACTTTTTTTCCTTTACATTTGTCAATAACTCCCTTAGAAGGATCAACATTGGTAACATTAGTTTCATGCTTTCTGTCCATTCCATGGTGCTTTATGCTGGACTCCAGGCAGTTCTCTGTGACACCAGCCAGTTCCACATTCCCTGCTCCTGTGGGGCCTTCGTTACTAGCGCTGGACGGGGATTCCTTTATGGGAATTATTCCAGTGCCCTTGCTGGCTGATACGCACTTGGACTGTCAAGAACAAGTCTTGAATGCTTCCTTTCAGTGTTGTCAAGAACTGCTTTCTCTGGTATGTCTTGTTTGTTCCCTGGATCAGGCTCCTAGGCTGCTCCAGCTCCCCCAACCACATTCCCGGCCATGCTGCTCTCTCCCCACAGCATTACACAGCTCTGTAGGTCCTCAGGGCATCTCTTCCCCTCTGTATCTCTGGAAGAATTTAAGATTGTTCATAGCTGATAATGTCCTACAGCAACTACCTGGCCATCCCTTCTTTCTGGATGGCTTTATTGGAAGAAATAGGGTGGGATTTCCTAAGTCTTTCTGCCCAAATTCTGTAGCCAGTCAGAACTCGGGAGGCAGGGTTAGGCTGTTAGCACACCCGCTGTTCCGGTCAGTGGGAATTCTTGCTAAGCAGCTGTTTCAGCTAACATGTTTAGTGAGGGGAATATAATTTCAAAATAGCATTGACAGATTTTCATGGCACGTGCAATACCCCTGAGATCCTGTGCCCCTCCCTTTGAGAGGAGCAGGCAGCACTGCATGTCTGTGCACAGAACGCATGCTGATGTTGTAAGTGCATGCAGAGAACTGACTTCTCAGGCACGGGCACAGTGCTGAAAATGAATCACGGGGGAAAATGTCAAAAGCTTTTAGTCCTATCTACCTAAGGGTGAGTGCTCTGATACTCTGTCCCATCCCAGAGACCTCCTGATGTGAGATTGCCACATGCTGAAGAGACAGTGTGTTAAAGCTGTCCAAGCACTGGCTTCATAGACTCCTGTGCTCTAAGCTTCATATTCTCAGCTTCATTGAATGCTCCCCAGGGGCTGAGTAAAAAACCAAACTGACCCAGTTTTAAATGCAGGCTTCTAAGCACTTCTAACATACATACCGGAGGCAAAATGTAATTGTGAGCTCCTGTGCAATTATAGGCCTATAAATGTGACATTTGTCTCTATTTTTCAGCTACTGAAATCAAGAAAGGTAGCAGTGCAGTACGGCATAAAGAGGCAAATGTCATCATCAGGCAGGACTGGTTTTTGATTGCTCCCTGACTTATGCGTTATTCACTGAGCGAGGGTAAGCTGCAAAATGTTCTCTCTTAAAAGTAAATACCAAACAGGATTCAAGACTTCCACTTGCCAGGTAGGTACCACTGTCTCCAGATTCCGCACGTTTAGTCGATGTCACTAGCTTAAGAGTTTCCACATTTGCAGAGCATACAGGTCATGCTTGTAGAGCCATGCAAAGTATCTACAGGCAAGGCTGCAGGGATCTGAAATCCTGTTTGGTTATTACCTCATTGTAAGTAAGATTGGCAGAATTTGCAGAAACCGGTAATATCTGCAGAATGGCTGCTGCCTTTGGCCGTCTCTGGGACTGTGTACGGGATATGGGCTGAGACATTTTGCAGAATGGGTACTTGAAAGAGAAGTCGTGAGTAGAACAAAGAAAGACTGAAGAGTAAGGCTTGGAAAATAGCATGGAAAACGAAGGGGAAAAATAAAGGGAGAGCAAGGGGGAAAGGACAGAGTTTAGCAAAATCAGCAAAGATCAGGAGATAGAAAATAAATAGTTTATGGAGATAAATAAAGTTTGTTTCAGCGAAAGGCAAGAGCAGCGAGCGGAGCACAACGCATTTGGCCTTGGAGCAGAGGAGGACTCCTGTGGTTCGCAGGTCAGAAGTGAGCTGACGCATGCATGTCCGTCAGGATGGAAGCCGAGCCACGAGCCGGGATTCCTGTGGTTCCACCTCGCATGGAAACAGTTTTCCGAAGCCGGGAACCAAAGCAGCCCAGGGTAAGTGGAGGGGGTGAGAGAATTTGCAACAGTATTCAAGCAGGCAAACTGGAGTGCGGAGGTTATTCCTACAAAGTACTTCTGCCCTTGGCTTCCCAGCAACCTTTGTCACACGGATACAGGTGGAAGATAACTTTTGCTCAACGCCATCGCTTGTACCCAGGCACCTGTTCCCATTCGCTGCCTCTGGCAGTGCGTACAGCTCACACTGCCATAGGGACTGTACATCCACAGCAGTGCAGACTGATCCCAGACCAGTTTTATTGACGTTTAATGTCACAAACTTCACTCGTGCGAAACAAGAAAAAGGTCATAAGAGCCATAAAAATTCTGCAGTGAGGTTATTGTCCACATTATTTTCTTAGAAGCACAAATTTACGGTGTTCTCCCATTTGCCAACGCACGCTGTGCACTTAGCGAGCGTGGGGAGGCAGCTCCCATGCACGCCAGCACTGCCGTTGTTCACGGTGCTGCTGCGGCACAGGGCAGGAGTCCCCTGACTAACGGGGCAAGTGCTCAGGCTACGCTGTGGGTGCTGGACGTGTCCAGGTGAAGCTCTCTGGCAAGCGTTCGCTCCCTGAGCCGCCCACTGTAAGGGGGACCAGGATTTACCTACAAGGGCTGTAGATCACACCCGTGCAGGTGCCCTTGGGCAGGGTTGGAGTAAAGTACGCAAGCTGAGCCATAGCACATGGGACTGTCAGGCACATTACGTATGTGCTGAATTCCTTTGGTGATCATGGATCTTTAGGTCCCGCTTAGCTGAAAACGATGGTGCAAGCAGTAAATTAATCTATACGAATACTGTCTCTGGCAGCTGAGAATTCTCATGATATAAAATTGAGAAACAGCCTTCCCGGGGTAAGACCTGCTGAGCCTCACAAATAAAAAAGAAAAGAAAACCAAACAAAAACAAAGGCAGAGTCCGAAGCTTATACAACACTAACAGAACTCCTTAGTCATGTGGGCAGAAAATCTCTTTCATTTCTGTTCAGCTCTCTCCCCTCTTTTTTCACATCGTGCGCCAAGGATAGCTGTGAGTACACACAGCAGTCCATAAACCCTCCCGATCTGTCAGAGGCATTAGATGTGTTGTTACCACCCAAATCCTTTAGTGCTGTTCCTGTATTACAAAAGCTGAGAAAGCGTCTCTTTCGCATTGCAAAACTCATGTGTCGTGTTAGACACCAAACACACACCCCTGAACACGCAGCGCTGAGGGGCAGGTGGAGAAGCCACCCTCCAGGAAAAGCAAAGATTTTACTAGCACTGTTTTTGTCAAAAAATATCCTTTCATGAGAATAAAAATCCCTCAACTTTCACTTCAGCAAAAGCACATTTTTCAGTATATTGTTTTGGATTTTGCTCTTTGTGGCTATGTTGTTTCTTCCTTACATCGAGATGTAGTAAAGTGAAAGTGTAGTTCGCTCCCTGGTCTCTTCGCCGCATAGTGCAAGAAAATCCTGTGAAACTGGGAACTGTGAAAGACGGTGGTGTTACAGCAGCAGGACACATCTCCTGGTGCAAAGGAAGGCTGCTTTCAAAGCACTTTACAGCACACAGCCGATGCCTGAGGTGCTGTGAACCAGATTCACATGGCGTGACAGGCAGCCCGTACGGAGCCCGCGGACCCACCGT